GGCCAAGCAGGTCCTGCTGGGCCGCAAGGTAGTGGTTGTGCTCTGTGCGGGCATCACATTTCTGGCAATTTCTACAGAAACAAGTTGAAGTTCCTGGCCTTCCTCTGCAAACAGATAAACACCAGCCCATCCCGTGGCCCTTAGCACTCCCGAGCCCCAGCCGCATCTTCTGGAGGCCGAGCGAGGCCCGCGGCCCCCCAGCCAGCGGCCAGGCCGCCTTGGACGCCTCCAGGTGTCTGACAGGGTCCCGCTGCCCTATGACGAGGACAGCGAATGGGGTCCCCGCCGCCCTCAAGGTGTGCGTCTGAAGCCTCCCGGGGAGCCTGGCTACGAGGGGGGCTGGGATACCAGGCGGACAGCCCCTCTGGAGGAGAGGAGGAAGGAAAAGGCCATGGTCCATCACCGCAAGAGAAAGCGGCTCGTGAGGCTACGGAACAAGCCGAAAAGAACGCGGAGAAGAAAACTGAAAAATTCACAGCGGTCCTCAAGGCCCATGGACTCCTGGTCTGCGCCCAATAACACTGACTATTATTCCTCACGCCTGGCCTGGCCTGCCCTTCCTCCATCGCCCCCCCACCCTAGGATGTGGGGAAGCCCAGGGGCTGTTCCGGGGCCACAGGCACCCTGCCTTGGGCCTTAGGAGGCTGGGGACACGGACGGGGCCTTAGTCACTGCTGTGTAAAGAAAGGCCTTTTAAAAGCTTTATATAGTTGGGCGTGATTTGCCTGTGACCTACTCAGAGTTTTCGGGAATGAGCACCTGGAACAGCTAGTTCCCTTTCAGCATTTACAAGCTGGAAAACTCTAAACTTCCCACACGATACTAGACTGCAGCTGTTAGGATGCAGCAACTGCTGGGGGCAGGATGGACCTGATATTGCACAGAGGGATTTACAGATGCGCAGACAGGACGGCAGCCACAGCGTCTCAGGCATCGCACTTGCACCGTCCTGTACCTTGTGATCGGAAAATGAATAAATTAATTTTTGAAGAAAAAAAAAGACTAATAACATCAGGTGATAGTGAGGGCACTCTGCTATGTGCAGGGCAGATGGATATTTTAGAGGCTAGCATATACCTCAAGGGCAACTTAGCAATATTTTTAATATTTAAAATATGCATATCTTCAATCCAATAATATCACTTCTATATCCTCAAAGAATACACGTGTAAAGAGGCATGTAAAATAATGTTCATCATTAACACTCATTGTAAAGCAAAAACTAGAAACCCCAATTTCCATTAAAAAAAAGGTTAAATGAATTATACCCATACTATGCAATTCTATGTAACAGCTAATAATGAGGATATATCTACTGAGGTTTCTAAACAAAAATGCAAGTTGTGAGAACAAAAGGTGTAAAGTGATGTCATTTATGTTTTTAAAAGATACACAAAATTGCTCTGGCTGGAGTGGCTCAGCTGGTTGAGCATCGATCCATGAACTAGGGGGTCACAGCTCAATCCCAGTGAGGGCACATGCCCAGGGCTTCAGGCTTGATCTGATCCCCAGCAGGAGGCGGATATTTCTATCTCTCTCTCCCTCTCCCTTCCTCTCTCTGAAATCAATAAAAACATATATTTTTTTTAATTTTTAAAGATAGATAAAATTTGTATTTTTACATAATATTGCAATTAACAAGGTAGGTATGATATACCAGAGGGAACATTCACTGTATAATATACTCATGTTTTACCTGTATAACTTATCAACTCCTTTCACCTTAATCAGAACAAGGTGTCTGTCAACAGGCTGTCAATGACTTGGCAGAGATGGTGACCACACAGAACCCCAGTCCATGTGTACAACTGTCCCCCCTTATCTGCAGGAGAGATGATTAATAGCCCAGTGGATGCCTGAAACTGTGGAGAACACCAAACCTTTTCCTGTACATACACATCTATGATAAAGGTTAATTTACAAATCAGGCACAGTAAGAGATTAACAATAACCAATAATAAAGCAGAAAATTATAACAATACTAGAGGCCTGGTGCACAAATTTGTGCACACTCGGGGGAAGGGGGGTTCCCTCAGCCTGGCCTGTGCCCTCTTGAAGTCTGGGACCCCTTGGGAGATAAAGCCCTGCTGGCTTAGGCCTGCTCCTGGGTGGCAGAGGGCCGGACCAATCCCTAGGGGCAGCCCCTGATCGGGCTCAGCGCAGGGCTGATTGGGGGG